TTCTTCAGCGATCACTGAACATGCTCAGTGTATTGATCGCTGGAACTGAAATTACAGATACAGAAATACATCGAAAGGAAAAAGGGATTATCATCAAATCACTGAGAGAGAGGATCAACATATCCCCCCCCCCCACGACGCTTAGTCGCTCACCACCCTCTCTAACCACCAACAATCGCACTTCTTGCGTTGTTTCTCCCTTCGGCAACACCACTCCTTCATCGTCCATCTCCATCAAAACTTGTAACCACAAATTAAATAAAAAACATAAAAATCAACCAAGCCGTCGAACCAACCTATATTGGCATGCATCAAATTTGCTTCACATTAGAAACTAGATTTAGGAAGAAATTGAGCAAAAATCTAATAAGATCAAACTTTTTATGGTCGAATGGCTAATAATTGGCTTACAAGGGTCAGAAGGGTCTTTGTGGTATATTTTATTTTTGGCACCAGATAATCATGGCTCAAGATTTCTTGGATATAAAAAGGCTGGATCATCAAATTTGTTTTGGTGTTGCACATATGCTCCACGTCATGAAGGAAAGAAGGGAGATGGGTCCTAGGGGAAGAAAGGGGCGTGTAATGAAGGAGAATGGGATTGGAGTTCGTCGTCCTTGTCACTATTGATGAGCTTTGTCCATGATGTTTCCGATTTAATGGAGTTCGTGAATGTTGCGTGGATGTGGGAAAATGGTAAAAAGACCAACATGCCCCTAACCCAACGGGTGGGAACTTAATGGTATGAGGGACATGTACCCAGCTCCTAACGAAATGCAAACCACGAGGAAATTCGGTGCAAAATAAGTTAAACAGTCATTTGTAACAGGAAATCACCATATAATACGAAGAATAGAGAAAATTACAGATTTTCCCATGGTATGTGAGTTTTAATAGAATTAGTCCTTAAACTTCAATCATTACATACATTATCCACTGATATGCACTTCTTCTAGGTTTCCCATAGGGGTAAGCAGCGTAATCGGGTATTCACTTGTGGAACTGAAACTGCCGGTTCCGAAACCGGAACTGATATGAGTGGTTCCGGTTCCTAAAATACGGAACCGATTGAGAGTGGTTATGGTTCTCAATTTTTCGGAATCGTTACCCACTGGGACCGGTTCCGGGACCGGGTACCTGGAACCGACGGGTACCCTAAACCGGAACCGACGGGTATCCGGTATTTTTCAATTAAAAAAATAATTATTTTTTTAATACTAAATTTAAATTAGGTCAAGAACTTAGAACTCTAAATTCAGAATTTGAGATAAAATGATTTGTACTTTTTCAAATTGTATGTTTAATTGGATTCGTAGTATGTAATCGTTAAACTTTCAATATTTACTATTAGTCTATTATGCTTTGTAATCGTTAAATAATATTTGTAACCATTATTCCATATAATTTGTATTATTGTTTATTTATTTAGTATTTTGGCAATGTTTTTTTTTCTAAATAACAAAATTTTAGTATTTTAGGAAGCGGGTACCTGGAACCGAAACCGGTTCCCGATGGTTCCGGTTCAAAAAGTTCAAGAACCGCTCTAACTGGTTCCGATTTCAATATCTCAAAAACCGCCGGTTCCGATTCAAATTCCAGTTCCTATCAAATAAAGCGGATATCCATCTATGCTCACCCCTAGTTTCCCAACAACATTTTTGTCCTTACACTTTTAATTTGCAATTTTAGAGTACATTTATGGTCTTACGTTCACGTGGCTTAATATTTATGTATCTACTTCTTACATATTAGATATTACAAAACAATCCCTACAGTTTGCATTTTGTTATAAATTTCGTCCCTGAGATTAAAATTTATGAAAAACCCTCCATTAAGTAAATCTACTTGTTGAGCATGTGAGGATATTTTAGTCATTTTACGCTCATTTGTAATTAATAATTTTATTGTGTAAGTTAGGAACGCGAATGTGCAAATTTGAAAAATAAATTGAAATGCATTCAAGAGAAAAACCAAAATTAATCAAGAAAAACAATCTCCTTTTCACCGGCTCCATCCTCCCCACTTCACTGTCCCCATCCCATTCATTGCCTGCAACTTCTCCAGTACTACCACCACCGCCTGCAACTTGTTAGCAATTTAAATATGGGTTACCTAGTAGTTTGTGTACATATTTCGATATCTGGTTGTATCATCACTGTCAACACCGT